TAGCCTGGTATTACCAGGTTAACTTGTTTTACGCCAACTTTGCAAACTCTTCTGGGACCACCTTCTTAGAGATGTCCTAAGGTTGTAAGGTTGTGAGACTATAAGGTATATTTAATAAGAAATCAAACATCTTTCCATTTCACTCTACTGAAATGACTGAATCATCTCCACACTTGGTAACCACAACAAAAATTCATAGAGAAATTGAGTAATGAGGCTGGTATATCACAGAACAACTGTCACCCCTAACTCTCATTTTCAATTTGTTTGTGTTCAACCAAAGAGCCCCAGAATTTTCTCTGAATGCCTTTAAAATAAACTAATTTTAAAGTTATAATGGCATCAATTTGAAAACTATAAAATATATTCAAGATATTCAAATATTCCTTTTGCTCCTTTGTATACTAATGCTTTGTACACTAAATGCCACATAATTCTTTTTTCTTTTTGAAAAGACAATATTTTGTTGCTTAATATATATTTTTTAAAAGTCTGACCATCACTGGGCATGCAGGCAGGTGTCTGGTAAGCAGCAAGTTCCTCCTCATGCCTCCATTGAAGGCTTCCTCCCATTCACCCACCTTGAGTGTGTTTGAACCATGCAAGACAGGCTGGACAGAGAAGGGCTGGTACATGAGTTTTAAACTCTATCAGGGCAGAGGCCGACTTATGAATATTATTAACATTGCCTTGTCGATAAAAACCAAGCAGAGAGGACTTGATCTGAGGTCATTAAGAGTCTCACTGTCCTACCCTGAGTGGCTGCTCGGCACCTCAGGAGGGGCTCTGCTCAAATACAAGCTAGACCAATACTAAGGGACACTCCTCACCACCCTGGGGAACCAGCCAGGCGGCCCAAGCATAGGAGCCAGGTGGTGTTTATTTAACCTTAACTCCTGATCCCATCCAGCTTGTTTCTGTTTCTTTACCTTTAGAACTAATTTTCCTCTGGGGACCACACACCATTCTGGTGTCTGCCTGTCTTTTTTTAATGAAGGAAGAGCTGTGACAATTGCTGTTGAATTTTTAAGCATACACAGAAGAGTGAGGCCAATGGCCTTGGGACTACGGTTACATTTCAGTATTTTAAAGAACTCACCATGGGGACTTCATTTGGTAGAGGTCTGTGATAATCAAGAACCAATAAGAAAATGTCCCTGGTAAGGAACTTGAGAGTGAGATCCAGAATGGAACAGTAGGGACCCCCAGGGAGGGGAATGTACCTACTACGGCTCATCAGCGTGCGTGACCCCTCCAGCAGGCTTATTTTCTTCTGCTTATTTGATCCTTGTCCACACTTACGTACTGTAGGGTAATTTCTCTCTAACCACCTTTTCTCCCGCAACACCCTGAAAAAAGAAAAAAAAAAAAAAGAAGAGAAAAAGGGGAAAAAGTCTGCTTTATTTTACAGCTAATTTGCTGTAAGCACATAGCCCAGCTGCTCACAATGAAGCAAAAGAGGAAATGGGAACAGAGGGAACCTTCTAATGAAGGCGGGCGGGGGAGCAGTAAGGAGATGCAAGAGTGGGCTAGGTGCTATCTGTATGATTAAAGACAAGCAAAAAACAGTAGTAAGCAGATATGTTCATTTGAGCCCAGGAACAGAGAAAGAACAGAGAAGAATCAGCGAAGGGCAAATAATTGGTTCAATATGGCATTTTAACTGGTCAGAAGAATCTCCCCCTTCTTTGCATTATATGAAGTTACACTTTGGACTTTGCTCTTGAATGTATTTTATCATTGGTTCATAGACAAAGGATAAGTCCAAAAACAGATATAGATAGATAGATAGACAGGTAGACAGACAGACAGATAGATAGATAGATAGATAGATAGATAGATAGATAGATAGATAGATAGATAGATAGATAGTTGATAGATATTTTAATTGTAGTTCTGCATGAAAGAGCTCAGAATGGAGGGTTTAATTGGGTGGAGAAATGTTTGAATGGATTAATCCAGGGATCACTGGGAAGAGGACATCCTCGACTTCTGAGTTAGCAGACTGCGTGCCTCATCCTTAACAAAATATTTCCTTTTAAAAATAGGAAAGATTACATTCCTTATTGCATGTTCTCCTCTTTCTGCTAACTCAGCACACATATCCCCCCCCACTCCCCCCAACAAGACCTCCTTTCTTTCCCCTGAAGACCACTTCAGAAAGGGGCACATTTTATACTTTGGTACTTTTTCAAACTGCAGAATATGATATTCCTATGGAAATGAAGGATTTTCTGAACTCTCAGCTCTATTTCTTTAATAGTGTATGTAACTCATTATGAGGGGAGTGAAGGGAAGGAACAGCTTACGAGCTAGAAGAAAAAATAAACAGGTTTTAATATTCGGCTTTATATAAATGTACCGAATTGGTCTGTATGATAACAGTGCCAACATAATTAATTTGAGCCTGGCTTCCTCATTTGTCAGCGAGAGCAGGTTGCAGTGTTCTAAAGCTTCTGTACAACCCTGAAGGAATCGGCCCATGCTCACCCTGGGCTCAGGGCTCCTCGGGAGCCTTCCCCTGGTGAAAGCTGAAGCCCCATTTCCTCTGGCCCAGCTGGGGGCTCTCCAGGCTGGCCTCCGGATCCTCATTCTGAGAATTCTTTCAGCACCAAGGGAGCTCCTTGTCCACCTCATATCCTGTAGCATTTTTTTTGCCTGCTGATCTTCAGAGGAAACTAATGTTTTTAGTTGCTATTTGATAGCAACAATTGGGAATTCCAAGTTCCTAAATTTTAATCCCACTTAGTAACTTGGAATAACTCCTGGATCCTCACAATTGGTGTCAGGGATTGAAGGACAGGGCAGTTGGAGTGCATGCTCCTCGGCACAAGGGGATAAGAAAAATAAACAAGAGGAAGTAAATGGACTCCCAAAAACTTAAGAAGCTCTGTGCAGCCTCCACACCCCAATCAGCACACAAACAAATTAGCAAACAGACATTTCCAGATTCAGGTCCAGGAATAATAAAACTCTGACAGTAATTAAGAAAGAGCCAAAAATGTACTTCTCTTAGATTTGAAAAATTTGCATCTTTAACAATGGAAATCTATTTTTTTTAAATGGGGGGCGGGAAAGGCATTGGTGGGGAATAGAAAAAGAATAAAACTTGTTCTGAAACTTAAAATGTTGATAGGTGGGGGCAGGAAAAAAATAAATTATTCTGTTTTTTAGGTTTTTCTGTTCAATTTTTCTCATTACTTGAGTACCTGAAACTTTCTGTGTGCTAGCCCAAATGGTCATGGACCCATTTTTAATAAATGTGCAGAAGAGCTGGAAGAATATTACAAGAGGACAGTGAAGTGCCAGACACAACTGAGAAAGGGAGGAGAACCTCTCTCCATAATAGTAGGACGTGTTCCTCAAAATATATTTTATTGAGTAAGAAAGAAGCTAGGTGAAGAAATTAGCAATTTGCTATGTGTATCTGTGAAATAAGAGGAAATGTTTATATAAATAAATAAATATATTTGTAAATGTACACGTACATATAAGTCAATGATTCTCATTGGTGATTTTTGCCTCCCAGGAAATACTTGGCAGTATCTGGAGGCATTTTTGAATTGTCACAACTAAAGGGTTTCTACTGACATCTAGTAGGTGGGGATCAAGGGATGCTGCTAAATATACAACAATACACCCAATGCCCATATCTCCACAACAAAGAATTATCTAGGTTAAGAAATCCTGGATAGACGATATAGATAAAGACCGAGTGTATGCATTAGCCTGGGTATATATTTGAAATGAAAGGAAAAATCATGAAAATAGAGAAGGGATTACATCTTAAAGGAGAAGAGAATTGGGTTGCAGAAAGAGAACAGATCCAAGATTTATATTAGATATTGTGTTTAAGATTTGACTCTGAAATTGTGTGTCTATTTTACCTTATTGCCAGGAGAATGAACTTACAAAAAGAGAACCCTAACGTTCCCCAGCATGAAAGCACTCAACACTATGCTATGACTAGCCCACGTAACCACACAAAGAGGAATCAGGGACTCTAAAACACAGATGTTGACTACATAGTCTCAAGGGGGAAAAACCTAAAGACAAAAGAACAGGAAAAAAAAATTATTTGTTTCAGTTACATTTTTGATGGTTGTCTTGGTATTTTATTTTTAAACTCTTTGGTGTATATTGTAGGATTTTTTAAAAAATTAGTAATTACGTGATGTCATTGAGAATCAGGATTTGGGCATAGAAGAAAGAGATACAGATAAAATATAGAAGGTAATTTAAAATACTTTAATCCTGGATTAAAATTGGGAAAATCAGTAAAAAATTCAGAAAGGATTTATTTTCTAGTTTTATTTTCTGAAAGCCTAGAAGTAACAATCAATATAGCAGCAATGAGCATTCTTAGTACCAGATCGTGGTCACTACACATCATGTTCTGGGAAGAATAGGTGATCTCTAGTCTGAAGAAAAACTGTACAAGACAGGGATAAAATATTCAGTAATAGTAGAAAGCAGGAAATTATCAAAGCTACATTATGTTAAAAGGTACAAAATACAAAATGAAGAGGCTCTCACTGACCAAGCATGGCACAATCAGAACATAATTACAATGAGTCAAAGCACAGCGTATTTTAAACAAAATAATTCATCTTTGCCCAAAACTAAAAGACCAACTATTCTGAAAACTAACAAATAGAAAAAAACCCAAGCATTCATACTGCTATTGCTATTGCTCTATGAACTGTACATCTAGGTAAGAAAATAGTTGAAAATAGATCAGATAGACAAAAGGAAGCCAAATAGACAAGCAAAGCTTCTTTTTGTAGTTGTATTTTAGATAATTATTAATTAACAAAGTAAGACACAAATAGAATATTGCTTTCCCTATTGAACTAATCATAATTCTAGACAATTAGAAAAATATGAACACTGACAGGGATTTGATACTAAATCAAAATTAAATTTTTAGATTGATTATGGTACTACCATTGCTTTTTTTTAATATAAAAGTCCCCTATTTTAGAGTTACATGCTTAAATGTTTATGGATGAAAGAATATAACATTAGAATTTGCTTGGATTTAATCCACAGAGGGGAGCGGAGGAGAACAGCTAACACAGACTGACAATCACTGGAAATGGGCAATGGGGTAGGGGTTTCAGTATACTCATCTATTTTTATATAAAGTTCAAAAATTTTATAATGGAAATGTTTTTTTTTAAACTTAAGAACAAATGAAAATTAGAAAAGAATGGATGTTCTTTAAGGAGGAACATTGGCAGCAATCTTTCTGGTGCAGATGTGAGGACAGGAAGCGTACTTTGAGAAATGCTCTGTTTGAGTCCTGGAATATTCTCAAAGAAGTTCGCTTCCTCCCTGCTCTGCACACTTGATGCTCAACCATCCTGATCCAATAAGAAATCGTACGAGGAAATGCTCCCGCTTCACCCCTTCAGGTCAGTGCCCACTGGTCCTGGAATCCGCTCATTCTGATAGATGCTATAAAACAATAATATCAACTGCCACTTATTGAGCAGCTTCTGTGTGCCGAGCTGTCTTTGTAGCTCTGTCTACTCTTTACAATGGAAAGGCCACTAATGTTCCCATTCCATAGTCATGGAAATAATAGAGAAATAGCCACACAGCCAACAAGCATCTCACTCAGGATGTTGACGCAGATCAAAGACTTCTTGGCCTTGGCACAGTAACAGATCTACACGTGACCCAGTGGCTCGGGCTAGGATTCCCCTGTCTCGAAGCTCATCAGAATTATTTTTTAACTTTTTGTGCTAACGATCATCCAACTAGAATGTACGTCAGAGACACCTGGGAAATTTGCTTAAAATGTAGACTCCTGGGAACGGGAACACCCTCCGAGATTCTGATTCCATATGTCCAAGGACCAAGGCCCAGGAATCTGCATTTAGCAAAAGATTCTGGTGCAGATGGTCTGAGAACAAAACTTTGAGAAACACTTCCCAAATCCATCACAGTCTTAGACTTCAAACGTTATAATCTGATCCTAGACTCTTGGGTTCCTGGCAACACGCCCCCTTAAATGAATAAGCAGTTACTCAAGAGCTTCCGATTGTCTCTCTGCTCCTGTTCTTTCTTCTGCCAGAATAATACACTCATCATCTTCACAGTGGTGATAATAAGTACACTAGGACAAATGTTCTGGGGAGTGCAAAGGCCATACCAACATTTACATGCCCTTCCTCAGACTGGCCACCATGCGTTGAATTCAGAACGACCCAAGCTCAGCACTGTAATTTACCACTGAGATCAGCAGTGTGATCCTTCCCGTTCAGCTCAGTTTCCATCATAACCAAACACTTGCCAAGTGCTGAGTGTTGGGACATGCAGGCACGACAGAGAAGAACAGGACACAAGGTTTTCTTTGGAAACTGTCTAGAAGTTTCTTGGTGATCAGGACCTAAGCAGGGCTTGGAGGTCTGCCAGACAGAGGACAGGGGAATTTCTGTGTTGAACGCAAAAGGCAGTGGAGTCCCAGAGAGGCCCACGGTCACCTGCTCTTTTGTTTCGGACAGCTCAGAGGAAGAATGAGTTCAAGTTCTGAAGGAATTACAGCGTATACCTGTGGTCCTTGAAGCCTTCCGGCAGCCTCCCCTGGGACTCTGGCTTGTACTACATAACTCTTCTCACAATCCAGTTCATTTTTGCTCAGGATTTATCAGCCACAAAAATGAGTTTAACCTTTGGAGCTTCAGTTTGGCACCTCCTGCGTTTCCACCCTCAAATGTTGTCTCCCACCCCATCTGGCTGTGGCAAGACTCCTTCAAGGATCAGACATCTCTAAAATTAGGCATCGGCTGAGATTTATGCTGATTCTCTTGATTCAGTCCAGACTTGTCAACGTCCCTGGAAGCAAGCAAACGTTCCATAAATTACTGCAGCCTTTAACCAACCAAACTATTTTTAAAGGGTGGTCTATATCAAATGCAATTAAATCTGAATTGTTGCCTCAATAACTCTTGCCTTCTTTTTTTTTTTTTTCCGCCCTGTTCGCTTACATCCCCAAGTATATTTCGCTTGCACTACATTAAAAGCACCGTTCATCACTTTTTCAGCCTCTAGAGAAATGCTAAGAGTGGTGACATTTTTTTTGTTTCTGGAGGTGTGGAAATAAAGTCTCAGCACACCACTCCTGTAAATGCACCCTGGTTGGGCGCGTCCTCCTGATCCTGACTCCAGAAAACATTCTGGAGTGAAATAATGGAGGTACCTAGCAATTGAGGTTGGGGAAGTTCTAATGTCTCCATCTGTTTTGGTGATTCTGGTTTGCACACATGTGGGTGAGTCCTCTGTTACCTGACTACACTGTGGCCACAGGATTCTGAGTCAGTCCTAGACGGAGCCAGCCTCCATATGCACCCTCTCTGGATTTCTCCCCTGCATCTTCTATACTGGGGCCATGCAGATGGAAGAGCCCCCCAAATCCCATCCCTTTTTGCCCAGCCATTGTCCACAATATCTGAAAATAATCTGAGTTGTTGCAACAAGAGAGAAGGGGTATGGCTTCTCCATTTTTTTGTCATTTGATGGCTGACAGGTTTGAACCACACTCCTCCCTCTTCCAGTACATCTGGGCAAGCTGAAAAGAAAGTCTGGGTGTCCCCTCCTTGGGACTGGTGGGAAATTAAAACCATGAGATCGGCTGTGCCTGGGACTTTCACACTAGCCTCATCTGTCAAGTATAATAAAAACCCAGGCCAGTTTCCTTCCCTTGTTTATCAACTTAAGAAGTCACTTCATACCTGCTTGAGTGGGTCAGCTCTGCTCTCCCAAGAGACCTCAGTCATGTGATAAACATTCCCAGAGCTTCTTGGTGTCTGTGGAGCTTCATCACTCCTACGACCAGATCACATTTTAGATGGGAGCCCATCTGCTTTTGCAGGTGACCAGAACAATGTGTTCTTCCTCCCAGCTGAGATCAAAATTCCTAGCCCAAACAGGTCAGTAAAGACAAGAGACCCTTGGACCTCTCTCACAGCAGCTGGGAACCTGCGTGATCTCCACACACCAATCACCTTGGAGTTGGCTGAAGCTCCAGCTTGCATTAGTCAGAAACTATAATCATACCCTGTCCACAATCTTTTCCGCAATTAGTCACCTACGTCCTGACACCTAAGCCTTCTCTGCATTGGAAACCATCCATACCACATCATTCTCTCTGGCCACCTCCAGCCCAGTCCTGCCATCAGCTCAGAATGAAGTAATAAGATGCCCTCTTTCAAGATGCTGTATTGCCATCTACCAGAAAAAGGTGGTAATAGCTATTTAAATTTATGGTGATTAAAACATGGACAGCTCCCCCTGGAGTTGTGCAATTTACTGTCTGCAAAACCGTAAGTGGAGGCCCTCTTCCCACTAAAGCTACTTCTAGTTCTTCCCTGAATTTCAGCAGAGACATGGGCTCACACCAAACTAGCAGCCTGGGGGGTCCCAGGCTTTTTTGCCATGTGGATCTCAAGGCCCTCATGCAGAAGGAAGGGGGGTGGTTGTTGTACCTTCTACATCCCTCAACTGGAAGTTCATCATCCAAGCATTTAGTTCTTCCCCATGGGGACTATCAAAATTTTGAGTGGTATATTCTTTGTTGTATGGGACTAACCCTTACTGTGGGACACCCCAGCAACCAGGTGCAAAGTAGCAGGACATTCTCTAGTTATTGCAGAAACCAAAGGCACCCCTCCCATTTCCATATGTGCACTAAAATGATGGCATCCCTTCCCTCCAGCACATGCACAGTTGAGGACCACATGATGATCTATGTGCATCTGCCACCATCTCTAGACTTGCTCTTTGAGAGGGTAGCTATCTCACCTTCCACAGATCTACATTCCCCAAAGTGCCTATCATTTAACCTGAATTGAAAAAGAGCACAGACCAGTAAAAACAGAAAATCAGAACTCACAGTTGCTCATAGGGCAATTCAAGTTCTCCTCTTCCTTTTTTGCTGGGGAAGAGCCCAGGCTAGATCACCTCTACTGAAACTCAGGACGCCTTGTCCTATACCTGTCCTTGCAATTGAAGAGCATCTGCTTGTGCCCATTGATGCTCTTATCACTCACAGCATTAATGTAGATCATTATAAAATTGCTCATATCACCTCATTCCCTCAATACAGTTGTCCCTTATCCATGGATATATGAGTTATATGAAAATAACCTCTCTCTCAAAATATCTTATTGTACGTTCAGTTCTTTATTTAAAGAAAGCTTTACAGCTTCTCTTTAAAATATCTGAATGGCCAGAATCACTACTTTTGCACTTTGGACCATTCTTAAGTAAAGTAGAGGTTATATAATATATAAGTATTACGATTCCACAAGAGTAAACCTCATAACTGTGACTGCTACCAAGTGACTGATGGGTGGGTAGTACATACAGGGTGGATACATACACTCGGAAAAATTGACAGTGGGAGATTTCATTATGCTACTCAAAGTTGCATGCAATTTAAAACTTACAAACTGGTTATTTCTGAAACTATCCATTTAATTCTTTTTGGACTAAGGGTAACGGAATCTGCTAAAAGCCAAACTTGTAAATAAGAGAGTACTCCTATTATTGATAAACAGGTGGCCTTCCCCCTGTGCCTTGAGAAATGGATGACAAATGCCTTCTGCATGGCAAATGAAGAATAAAAAAAGACACTGACAAATAGAAACCCTGGGTCTCTCGTGACAGAAACAAAATTGGGGAAGTTGCTGCATCAGTTCTGTCTTACATTCTATTGCAATCTTCTAACGTTTTTAAATATTTCTGTTGAATAATTAGGGCTGGCTGAGAAGGGCTAGTTATCTACCTATCAATGGTATTCCTTGATAATTGAAGGTTCTGTTCAGATACCCACTCTCAAGAGAAATGACCCTCCTCCTACCTCAGTTATCAATCTAAGTCAAAGGATGGCAAAGTATAGCCCAAGTCCAAATCTACCTTGCCAACTGTTTTTGCCTGGCCTGGAGCTAAGAATGGTTAGTATGATGTGTCAACTTGGCTGGGCCACAGTGCCCCAATATTGGGTCTAACTATTCCAGATGTTTCTGTGCAAGGGTTTTTCTACGTGATTAACTCTAAGATGGGTGGGCTTTAAATAAAGAAGATGACTCTCCCTAATACAGGTGAGCCTCATCTAGGCAGTTGAAGGATTGAATAAAAACCAACACTGACCTCCCCTGAGCAAGAGGGACTTCTGCCAGCTGATGACCTTCAGACTTCACCTGCAACATCCGGTCTTCCCTGGGTCACCAGCCTGCTGGCTCTACCTGCAGAGTTTAGACTTGCCAGTCATTCATAATTTCATTAGCTCGTTATTTAAGTTCAATCTCTATTCTATATACACATCCAAATGTTTCTGTTTCTCTGGAGATTCCTGACTACCAAAATGGTTTCTACTTTTCATAATGGTTTTATTCTAAAGGGTTATGTAAATACCACATAACGTCCTTAATTTTGCCTCATGGCCAACAAAACCTAAAATGTTTACCATCCGGCCCTTTAAGTTTGTTGACATCAGTTCAAAGCCAACCATCTCCATTCTACTCGCCTTGCCTGGGACTGGCAGTGACATAAGTCTGGCTAGTAAGATAACAGGGAAGTTCTTCTATGGACTGATGGAAAAGGCTCATTTTATCTCAAGAAGGAATTACAGAAATAACCAAAAGTGATGCCTGGGGCTGTTGCAGCCATCCTGCAGGCCTGAGGTAAGCTGGCCTAAGTACATGGCTACCTCCAAGCAAAATGATGGAAAGGGTCCTCTGTGACATTGTAGGGCTATAGCAGCAATATTCTGTGTCAATGCTTTTTGCTAAACAAAACAACATATTACCTTAATTTCTAAGATGCTTTGAGTTAGAGTTCTTATTAATCACATCCTGATGAACGTGAAGGGCCAGGGTGATTTCATTTTCAGTCCTGATTAATTGGTGACAGAGCTAGACAAGTAGACTTTCTCGTCTAAATTGAGAAGACTAGCATTTCTAGCAGTGAGACAAAGCATAGTTTTTCATGAATGGACTGAGAGTAGCTAAGTGGATTCAGGTGATTTCATGCTAGCTGGTGTTTTGAAGGAGCTATTGTATAACAAATAAAGACTGCACCCACCACCCATCTTTCCTGCATTTATTTTACTTTTTGTTGAATCTCAAAGGGACCTAATCATTGATATTTTCCCAAGAAAGAAAGTCTTATAAAAATACCAACTGTGGGCTGGGGATGTAGCTCAGTGGTAGACCACTTGCCCTGGGGTTCCATCTTCAGAACGGAAAAAAAAAAAAGCAGTATTCACACAAAGAGGAGGCAAACCATACACACCCCTGATCACACTGGGTTTTGTGGTTGTTATTTGTTTGTTCTTTAATAGGGCAAGCAATTCAATTTCACCAGCTACTGCGGCATGAAGGTGCTAATAAGCAAGATCTTCCTTTCCCCTTGACTGCTCGGCCTTCTGCATGCCACAGAGTCCTGCAGTTGCTGGATGGTTACCCTCACTGCAGCACCCCCTAGTGGTTGCCACTTTCTACTGCACCCATTTCACAGGTGGAACAGAGGAGGTTCAGTAACTTTCCACAGACTCTACAAAGTGGGGCTCACTGAAGCCAGTGCCATACAAAGAGCAGAGAGAGTTACAAGATCCCTCATGCCCCAGCTGCCTCCTTTTGGCTTCGTTCCTCAGATAATTACCTCCTGCCCTCCCAAAGTTTGTCCACGAGACCCCACCAGCCATGCAGGTGACTCGCTGTAACTCCTCTCTACCTGAAGGCTTCCGTGTATGAGTCTGAGACCCTCACCTTTTCCTTGGGATTTGATTGGTTCTCAGTCACTTTTGCAGTCCCAGAAACTAATAGTGAATGAAAACATTTCCAAATAACCTGGTTTACCGTCGTGGTTTTATTTCAAAGTACCTAGTATTCTCTGTCATTTTGAGATGTGTTAGAATTGGAGCTATTCTTTAGAAATATGGATCCAAATTTAAAGAACCATAAATCCCCACACGAGAAGAGCCTCTGGTTGTCTTCTGACTCCAATCTCCCACTCAACAGTAATCCTCTATCTCTGCTTTGGTCCATCCAGAGCTCATTGCTAGAAAACTTGTCCTAGCATTGGAATAACATCTTTCTTCCTGTGCTCTTTACTCACAGGTTGTAATTCTGCCCACTGGTGCCTCCCTGAACAAACACATTTCCTCTTTCACACGCCAACCCCTCAGATATTTTAAGACTGCTGCTTTGTAACCCAGAATTTTCTCTTCCTCATGCCAAGCATCTCCAGTTCCCTCACCCTTAAAGCAAAGGCCTGGGTCCAAATCCACTCAGGTGTCCAATCCTTCCTCTCCAAACACATTCTCCAAGAAACAAGAGCAATTTAACTGGACATTAATATTCCCCAACTTCCCTGAAGCCCATATGTTTTGTAAATTTCCATTGAATAGCACTTTCTTTTTATTACTCTTTGGAAAGATACAAATAATTGCACTCCTATGAGTCTATTCATTTGGATATAGTCTTTCTAGGAAATCTTTGCCTCCCACTGACAATCAGGGTGGAATCAAGTTGCCATATCAAGGAGCCCAGTTTTCTTTCCAACATGAACAATGAGGTTGTTTTTATATAGGCCCATTCAGCATTGTCACGTCTATTTAAAAATAGGTAAATACTCCAATCAAAGGTACATTGAACATGAATGATAATTCTGTCTTCAACCTAAGAGTCCCTGTTTGTAGGAAGTCATTGAAGGCATGGCCACTTGGTAAAGATCATAAGCCAATAATTAATCAATCAATAATAAATGTTGTAGATGGGTAAAAAATGTAGCATATATACACAATGAAATTTTACTCAGCAATAAAAGAGAATAAAATCATGACATTTTCAGGTAAATGGATGTCGTTGGAGAAGATAATGCTAAGTAAAGTTAGCCAATCCCAAAAATACAAATGTCAAATGTTTTCTTGGATATAAGAAGGCTGACTCATAGGGGGGTAGGGAGGGGGAACATGGGAGGAATAGATGAATTCGAGATAGGGCAGAGGGGTGGGAGGAAAAGGAATCGGGCAGGGGATTAGTAAGGATGGTGAAATGTGATGGACATCATTATCAAATGTATGAAGACACGAATTGGGTGTCAACATACTTTGTACACAAATAGAGACATAAAAAATTGTGGTATATATGTGTAATAAGAATTGTAATGCATTCTGCTGTCATGTATTTTTAAAAAATCAATCAAAAAAATAAAAATAGCATAGAGTGGGATCAGAATATAAGCAGGTCTGATTGAGTGTGTCCTGGATTTCACCCTGTGGCTGTGGAGGTAAGGCACACATGGGCAACATGAGGCCATACCTACTAAGTGCTGACACAGGGAGCAGGCATCAGTGTAGATGGGAAGAGAGCTCACAGATGGATGAGCGCTTGCCATGAGCTCACTGCATGGGCATTGCTTCCTTGACATCTTCAGCAGCTTGACCTAGGAACCTTGGTCCATGCAGAAGTGAGAGACACGAGCAAAGGCAGACCCTCACTCAAATCCTCCTAGATTGGAAGAGAAAAAGACCCAAACAGAACATCAGGGTTAAAAAGCCCTCTTGTGAGTAGTTCCCAGAGCTAGAAAGATGTCACTAGCAGTGAATATCTGAGCAGAGTGGGGAGGGTGAAGTAAGAATGTGTGGCCTGGGAGGGACAATGTGGCAGAGGGGCTGTGTGTGGTCAGGACCCAATGTGTTCTGGGGGAGATATCACACGCACATGCACACACACACACACACACACACACACACACACACACACACACATAGCCTGTTTCAGGACAGGATGGTGTTCCTTGGCTGAATGGGGATGTCAGGCCAGGCCAGGTGGGGACACCTTACTCCACTCCAAAAGCCATGGCTTCCTCTGTTCTTGACCTTCTGAGTTCCTAGAATGAGAAGTAGTTTTAACATTTCTCAGTCCAGCACTTCATTTTGAAGGTGAGGACCTGATAGTCCTGGAAGGTTACAGAATATGTCCAAATCAATATGTCCAAGAACCTGAAGCGTCCAACTTCAGCTGGGATAAATCACAGGCTTTTGATTCTCAGCCCAGTCCCTTTCCACCAAATTCCACCCTTTGCCACACCAGTTTCCCCCTCAGGCTCCTTTTCGTATCCCCCAGTCTCTGCATTCTCACCTACAGGAAGGTCTGGTGCACACTATCTGAACACTGAAGTCAACCGTATTTTCTAGAAGCCTGTTAGACTGACATGACACAAACTCACATGGGAAGGGAAATGGGCTTTGTGCATAAGTAGCTATAAATAAAAGCCCCAAACTAGTGAAAGTTTCTAGATCTCCTTTTTATTTAAATGTTCCTCATTTATATGCAACCAATTCACAAAAGCCCACACACCAATCTGTAATGCACCTGGTCTTGGGAGAGATTGCCAGTTTGGTAGTGTCGGGCTTTTTTTTTCCCCCACAATAAAAAATGCACAAGTTCATGTCCTTAGGATACAATAGTTCCTTTTTTCAAAAAAAAAAAATTAATCCCCCAAACAAATAGTTTTATAAAATATATCAAATTAAATGGACTCTCTTTATTCTCCATCTTCTAGCAATAGCCATCCAGGTCTGCTTAGAGAACAGGTATGTCAGATGCTGGCTTCACATCATACTTGGACTCTCCAAACCTATATTAGGCTGCAAGGGCTGCAATAGCAAAGTACCACAGACTAAGTGGCTTCAACATTTATTTTCTCACAGATTAGGGTCTACCCCACTGATCTCATTTTCACTTAATTACCTCTTTAAAGATCCTTCTCCAAATATAGCTATATTCAGAGGTTCTGGGAGGCAGGGCTTTAACAAGTGTGTTCTATGGGCACAGGACTCAGCATATAACCCTGGGCATCATACCCACCTCCAAATCCATGTCCTCACATGCAGAATAGACTCACCCCATAACAACAGCCCCAACAATCTTAAACTCCTTCACCATCGATATACTCAGGCCTCTACCTAAAGCAGCTCTTAAGGCTGGAATTCAAAGAGACAGAGAGGGATTGGAGTCACTTGCCATTCTCACCAAAGACTGGAACTTAGGCCTGGCATCTAACACAGAGGAGGCTTCAGCTACCTGAGCTTGTCCGTCCATCTGGAGAGGTGTGGGACTCTCCTGGGGGCTCCACCACTCTGAACAATGTAAGAAAAAAAGTCTGTTTCTCCCGAGACGGCTATACAAAACGTTAAGGTGAATTATTAGGTAAAGGCCATCTTCTGTTGCCTCTTGTTCCAAGGGAGCTGATCTCTTCTGTTCTAGAAAAGGAATAGAGAGAGCTGATTCAGCGTTCCAAGGGTAAAAATAGCTAAACGGACAGCTTGAGCGAAGCTTAGCAGTTCACCTATTTGTCCTGTTGTCTACTACACAAAGGAGGCTATCAAGGCCTACAAAGTTAGAAGCTGATGTAAAACCAAGGCTCTGTGTAAAAACCATCCACCTGAAATTGAGAAGTGGTGGGGAGCACGCTTGCATTGAAAATAGACAGCTGCTTCATGGGCTTCTCTTTGAATAGCTGCCAGGGGACGGTCAATCAATGGGAAGCCTCGATGGCACTGGGAGCTGTCAGGGACTGCATGTGGAAGGCTCACCCTCAGTGGGATTCCAGCAGATCAATTCCCAGGGCAAAGGTTGGGGCTTCCCATCCCCATTTTCCAGCTTTTCAAAGTTCAGCATGCACTTCTGGCTCAAGTTGGGTGCATTTGCAGGTCAAGTTATTTTCAGTTGTGCAAGACTTAACCTTTTCTGTGAAAAATCACATGGATGTTGGATTCACACCTCTCTGGACACTTAAGATTTCTGAACCCCAGACTTTGAATTTAAAATTGGGCTCTTCAGCCTTGCTCACCCCATGCAAGCAGAACTTCCCAGAAGGAAGAAAGGAGAGATGGAGATGGCCTGGGAATCCCGCACCTGCCTCTGAATGTCATTTGGTCCTCTAAAAGGTCACAATCTGCAATCAGTTCTACTAAGGTTTGAATTAGGGATTTGACAAAGGAAGAGGGAAATAAAGCTTAAGAAAAATACACATATGCACACACGTGCACACACACACATAAGTTCATTTTTAAGAGAACAAGAGATAGCTTGAGAATAGCAAACAGGACCCACTTTGCCCGTCTTTCGGCATTATTTGATCAATCTGTCATGTTGACAAAACAGCCCCCACTAAGGACAGACACAGCACACAGCAAGCACAGGCGGTGTGTTCGATTCCTGCTCCCTTGCAAATTCTGGAATGCAGGAAGACTGCACAGTGGGCACATGTGGTCTAAAAATGCTAGGCCTGCCCCAACTCTGTAGGATCCACTTCCCAGGCGACAGGAGCCCTGAGGCCTGGGTACTGCCCAGGGGAGGGGCCAGGGCCTCTGCCTGCACCCAGGCTAATTACCAGAGACCCTGACAGGCAGCTGCTGGGCCTCAGCCCCCCATTTGTGAGCGCGTTGCAAGGAACTGGTTCTAACTTTAGAACTACACTCTAAACTTTGATCTTCCAGCGCTGCTTGGCTTTAGGCAAAACATAAACTTGAGAGCTGCAGCATGTTTTTTAAATCTTACTCCCCTGGCAGTTTTTGAATAAGGACAGGAATTATTTTCAAATGAGAATCTTTGCCTGCATAACAGAGGCTTCCAAAATTAAGCAAAAACACATGGCAGCTCTTATTATTAAATTTCCCTTGGAAAACAATGGTTTAAATTA